AAGGAATTTGGTGGGCTTCCTTCTTTGCCTTTTTTCAAATATTTTATATAGTATTGAAATTAATTTTCCCCAATATATTTGGTAGAATTCACTTGTAAATTCATCCAGTCCTGGGATTTTTTTCTTAGAGAATTCATTTATAGCTTGTTAGTTTTTTTCTAAGATGAGGTTATTTAAATATTCTCTTTCTTCTGTAATCTGGGAAATTTGTATTTTTGTAAATACTCATTTATTTCATGTAGATTAAGTTTTAATGGCATTTAATTAGGCAAATAACTCCTAATAATGACTTTAATTTCATTTTTATTGGTGAAGTATTCACCCATTTAATTTGTAACAGAAGTCATTTGTTTTTCTTCTTTCTTTTTTTAATCAAAATAATTAAGTTTTTCTATTTTATTGCTGCCCCCCATAAAATCAGCTCTTTGCTTCATATATTCATTTTTTACTTTCAGTTTTAATGATCTTTCTTTTGATTTTCAAGATTTCCATTTTGATGTTTAATTGGGGAATTTTAATTTGTTCTTCTAGTTTTTTTTGTTTTATGTCCATTTTATTGATCTGCTCTTTCTCTCTTTTATTGATATAATTGTTTAGAGATACAGATTTTTTTGGTATTACTGCTTTGTCTACATGTCACAAATTTTGGTGTGTTATCTCATTGTTAGCAGGCCCTTAAATGAAAATATTAATTTGTTATTTGATTCATTCATTCTTTAGGATTAGATCATTTGGTTTCCAATTAATTTTTAATCTATGCTTCCATGGCAATTTTTGAATGTAATTTTTATTGCATTGTGGTTGAAAATGATGCATTAAACATTTATGCTTTTGCACATCTGTTTGTGAGGTTTTTATGCTCTAATACGTGGTCAATTTTTGTGAAGGTGCTAGGTACTACTTAGAAAAAATGTATACTCTCTTTTCCTTTCAGTTTTCTCTGGAGGTATGTTACCTTTAATTTATTTTTTTAAGATTCTATTCCTCTCTTTAACTCTTTCTTATCTATTTTATAGTTAGATTTATCAAGCTCTGAGAAGGGAAATTTGAAGTCTCCCAGTAGTATAGTTTTACTGTAAATTTCTTCTTGTAATTCATGTAACTTTTTCTTTAAGAATTTAGATGCTATGCCATTTGTTGCATGTGTGTATGTATTGTATTGATATTTCTTCATTAGATACATAATTTCTTTCCTTATCTCCTTTCATTAGGTCTATTTTTTGCTTTAGCTTTGTCTAAGATCATGATTTCAACCCCTGTCTTTTTTTTTTTTTTTACTTCAGTGGAAGCGCAATAAATTCTGCTGCAGGTCCTTATTTTAACTCTGTGTCTTTCTGTATCAAGTATGTTTCTTATAAACAAAATATTGGATTCTAGTTTCTAACTCATTCTGCTGTACACTTCCATTTAATGAATGAATTAATTCCATTCACATTCACAGTTATTATTACTAACTGTGCATTTCCCTCCATCTTATTTTATTCTGTGTATCCTTTTTTCTCTCCTTTTATCCAGTCCCTCCTCTAAAGTCTATGTTGCTTCTGACAACTGCCTTCCTTTATCCATTCTCCATTTTGTCATCCCTCCTCTCTCTTATCCCCTTCCCCTCCTACTTCCCTGTTGGGTAAGATAGATTTCTATACCCAATTGAGTGTGTATGCATTTTCTCTCTTTGAACCAATTTAGATGAGAGTGAGGTTCAAGCATTGCCTCCCCCACTTTCCCCTCCACTGTAAAAACTCTTCCATGTGCATCTCTTTTATGTGAGATGATTTTCCCCATTCTTCCTCTCCCTTCCCCCTCTCCAGGGCATCTATCTTTCTTGTCCATCCATTATTTTTTACATCATCCTGACATAATCAACTCACTCCCATTCCCCCTGTCTATGCAGAATCCTTCTAATTGCCCCAATAATGATAAAGTTCTTAAGAGTTGCAAATATCATTTTCCCATATCGGAATATAAAGAGTTTTACTTTATTGAATCTCTAGTGATTTCTCTTTCATGTTTATCTTTTTTATGCTTCTCCTGAGTCATATTTGAAAGTCAGATTTTTTATTCAGCTGTGGTATTTTCATCAGGAATGCTTGAAAGTCTTCTGTTTAATTAAATATCAATTTTTCTCCTTGAAGGATTAAATTTAGTTTTGCTGGGTAGGTTAGTCTTAGTTGTAATTTTAGTTCATTTGCCTTATGGAATATTGTATTCTAAGCCCTCCACTTCTTTAATGTTGTAGCTGATAAATCTTGTGTGATACTGACTTCAGCTCCATGATATTCAAAAGGTTTCTTTCTGGCTGCTTGAAATATTTTCTTTTTGACCTGAGAGCTCTGGAATTTGGCTATAGCATTCCTGGGAGTTTTCAGTTTGGGATCTCTTTCAGGCAGTGATCAGTAGATTCTTTCAATTTCTATTCTGGTTCTAGGATATTGGGGCAGTTTTCTTTGATAACTTCTTGACTTTTTATTTCATCCTGACTTTCAGGCAGTTCAAAACTTTAAAAATTTTTCCTCCTTGATCTATATTCCAGGTCAGTTGTTTTTCCAATAGATAGTTCATATTTTCTTCTATTTTTCATTTTGACTTTATTTTATTTTTGTTGTTGAGGCAATCAGGGTTAAGTGACTTGCCCAGCATCACACAGCTAATAAGTGTCAAGTGTCTGAGGTGAGATTTGAACTCAGGTCCTTCTGACTCCAAGGCCAGAGCTCTATCCATTGCACCACCTAGCTGCCCCATTTTGACTTTATTTTACTGTTTCTTGATATGTAATGGAGTCATTAACTTCCACTTGCCCAAGTCTAATTTTTAAGGAATGATTTTTTTCAGTGAGCTTTTGTATCTTTTTTTTTCCATTTGGCCAATTCTGTTTTTTTAAGGTGTTATTTTCTTCAGTACTTTTTGTGCCTCTTTTTTTTTTAACCAAACTGTTAATTGTCTTTTCATAATTTCTTTCCTCACTCTCATTTATCCAATTTTTTCCTCTACCACTCTTATTTGATTTTTTTTGAGGAAATTGGGGTTAAATGACTTTCCTAGGGTTACACAGCTAGTAAGTAACTGAGGCCACATTTAAACTCAGGTCCTCCTGACTCCAGGGCCAGTGCTCTATCCCCTGCATCATCTAGGTGCTCCTCTTATTTGATTTTTAAATATTATTTTAGCTCTTCCAGTAATTTTTGTTTGGATTGTGTCTAATTCACAATATTTTTTTCATTTGAAATTTTGCTTGTAGTTATTTTAGTGTCATTGTCTTCTTCTGATTTTACATCTTTATCTTCCTTGTCACTCTAGTAGCTTCGTATGGTCAGGTTTTTTAATGTTGTTTATTCGTTTTTCCTGTCTATTTCTTGGACTCTGTTCCTAGCATTGGGATTTGGGGGAGAGACACTGTCTCAAGTCTTAGACTTTTTTGAACTGTTGTTTTCAGAGCTAGTTCTGGGGGTGTGGAAGTTTTTGGCTTTTCCAAGGAGATATGATCTCGAGATGCGGTCACTGCTCTCCTGGTATGAGCTCTGCTCCTTGCCCTGGAAGGGCCCCTGAGATTGCAATTAGTAATGCCCCTCAAGGCCCCTGCTTTTTTGGGACTGAAAAATGACACTGCTTCTCAGGGACGCTGCTCCCTTGTGACCAGGAGTGATTCTGCTCTTTTGGGCCCCTGCTCTTTTAGGGTAGCAAGCAGGGATACTGCTCCCTCATGACTGAAAGAACTACTCCCTGCTCTGGAACTGTGACCTGGAAATGGGTATGGGCAGTGGAGTTGCCAAGAAGAACCCTGTCCTGCACCAAGTGCTAGAACAGGGTAGTATCTTTCTGACCACTTGCCAGATATCCTTACTGTCTTTGGCTTGAGAACCCCTAAAGCTGCTGCTGGTGCTGCTGCTGCTGCTGCTGTCATCACCACAAAGTCCTACCATGGTTTTGTTCCATGTGGGCTCCAGGTCAGCCTCCACTCATGTATCATGGATTTTTTCCTTCAGACCTCTAAGTTGTCTTAGGCTTTAAAGAATGTCTGACCCTGACCTTTTATTGGCTCTGCCACTCCAGAATTTAATTTGAGGTGCTATTTCAATAAATTTTGGAGGGCAATGCTGGGAGAGGTTGGCTGAGTGCTTCCTCTATTCCCTCATCTTGGCTCCATCCCTGGAAGATCAAACAATGATTTGAGGATGCTGGAGTGGTAGAGTAATGCTGAAAAAAACTTCTTCATGAACTTGATTGCACAATAATATGTTTTTAAAAAATTGTTAATTGTTAGGTTTACCTTTGTACCCACATTTTCAAGCAGTTGTCCTTTCCTCTCCTCAATGTAATTATTTCATTTGTCTTCAATATTTTTTTTAGAGGGCTTCCCCAATCGATCCTCATCTGAGTCATGGATTTTTAGCCCTAAATTTTAGTTTCCTTCTTTCCTTCCTTCCTTCCTTCCTTCCTTCCTTCCTTCCTTCCTTCCTTCTTTCTTTCCTTCTTTCCTTCCTTCCCCTGCTCCCTCATGACTGAAAGAACTACTCTCTGCGCTGGAACTGTGACCTGGAAGTGGGTATAGACAGTATAGTTCCTTCCTTCCTAACTTTTAGCAGAGCAACACCAATTCATTACAAATGTATAGCAGTAGTTGTCCCACATCTGTCCCCTCTTCTATCCCTACCTTCTTTGAAACCCTGTCATGATATAGTTGATGGCTGAAAAGACTACTCTGGGAAAGTAGAATCTATTTTTCTTTTTCCCTTTTTCTCTCTTCCCCTAACACCTCAGTATCCATCATGTTTATTGGTATCAAGTCAGGATCTTTACTTATGACATTCTCAACATTTTCCCCATCAACTCCCAGCACCTAGACTTGATGAGTATCAAAGGGCAAATAAAGCTTTCTTAGTTATAATGTCAGTTGTGGCTTTCAACATTAGTCCCTATAATTTAAATGTGACAAGCTGGATGTAGACATGAGAACAGTGTTGGAATGATTTTGTAAGCTTTATATGCTTTGCAATTTTTTGTAGATCCCTTTCACACTCTGGACCAAGACTCAGAAGAAAGGTGGTCTCTCTGTATGAAAGCTTTGTTAACAAATCATTAAAAGAACATTTTTTACCACCTATTATGGAAAAGGTTATTTTCTTTAATTTTTGTAAGTATGAACATTTTATAAGTTTGACTATGACAATAATAACAAAAACAGTAATTATTTATGTTTTTCTGAATATATAACATAGGGCACTAGTAAAGCAACAGATTGTAAATATAGCCAGTTCTCCCTTGTGTAAAGTGGACCATTTTAATTTCATGTAATTAAAATTATCCATTTTATTTCTTGTGATCCTCTCCATCTCTCATTTGATCATAGATTCATCCCTTGTCCAGAGATCTGATAGGTAAAATTTTCAATGCTCCCCCAGTTTACTTATGATATTGCCCTTTATGTGTAAATCATGTACCCATTTTGACCTCATCTTGTTACAAGGGGTGAGATGTTGGTCTATACCTAGTTTCTGCCAAACCACTTTCCAGTTTTCCCAGTAATTTTTGTCAAATGGTGAGTTCTTACTCTTAAAGCTAAGATCTTTGGATATGCAACTTTAGATTACTGTGGTCATATTACTACTATATATTGTGTACCTAATCCATTCCACTGATTCATCATCCTATTTCTTAGCCAGTAGCAGATTGTTTTCATGATTGCCACTTGATAATATAGGTTGAAGTTGGGTACTGCTAGACTGCCTCACTTTACATTTTTTTTCTATGATTCCCTTGATATTTTTGAGCTTTTGTTCTTCCAGATGAATTTTATCATTTTTTTCTAGCTCTATAAAATAATTCTTTGGTAGTTTGATATGGCACTGAATAAGTAAATTAACTTAAAGATACTTGTCATGTTTATTATATTGACTCAACTTATCCATGAGCAATAAATGTTTCCTCCAATTGTTTAAATTTTTCTTTATTTGCGTAAAAAGTATTTTGTAATTATGTTCATATAGTCCTTTAGTTTGTCTTGGTAGGTAGACTCCAAAGTATTTTATACTGTTTGCAGTTATTTTATTTTTTTAAATATATTTTATTTTCCACAATTATATGTTAAAACAATTTTTGACATTTAAAAAAATTTTGAATTCCACATTCTACCTCTCCCTTCCTTCCTCCCCTCCCTAGATGGTAAGCAATTTGATATAGGTTATACATGTCCTGCAGTTATTTTAAATGGAATTTCTCTGTCCATCTCTTCCTGTGGATTTTGTTGGTAGTTTATAGAAATGTTGGTGATTTATATGGGTTTATTTTATGTCCTGCAACTGCTGAAATTGTTAATTATTTCAAATTTTTTTTAGTTGATTGTTCAATTATAATTGAAAAGTTCTTAGGAGATACAAGTATCATCTTCCTACATATGAACATATGTTTAATTTTATTACCTTTTTATTTTTCTCTTGGGTCTTGTGTTTGAATGTCAGATATTCTATTCAGCTCTGGTCTTTTCATCAGGAATGCTTGAAAGTCTTCTATTTTATCAAATGTCCATTTCTCCCCCAAGGGATTATATTCAGTTTTGCTAGATAGGTTTCTCTTGGTTGTAATGCTAGCTCCTTTGCTCTCTGGTCCTTTATGTGGAAGTTGCTGAATTTTGATTTTACCTCCTGGGACTAAGACAATGGGGTGGTTTTCCTTTATAATTTCTTGAAATATGATGTCTAGGTGCTTTCAGGTGGTCCAATAATTCTTAAATTATCTCTCCTCAATCTATTTTATAGGTTGGTTGTATTTCCAATGAGATAGTTCATATTTTCTTCTGTTTTTTTCATTCTTTGACTTTATTTTATTATTTCTTGATATGCTGTGGGGTTATTAGCTTCCACTTGCCTAATTCTAATTTTTAAGGAATTATTTATTTCAATAAGCTTTTGTGCCTCTTTTTCCATTTGGGCAATCCTGCTTTTTAAGGAGTTCTTTTCTTCAGTGAATTTTTGTGCCTCTTACCAAGCTATTAATTCTCCTTTCATAATTTTCTTCCATCACACTATTTCTTTTTCCATTTTTCCTTCTACCATTCTTATTGCTTTCTTTAACTCTTCCAGGAATTCTTGTTGGTGTTGTGTCTAATTAGCATTTTTCTTTGAGGTTTATGTTGTAGCTGTTTTGATATTTTTGTCTTCATCTGAGCTTGTGTCTTGATCTTCCCAGACACCATACAAAGTAGTGACTATTTATGGTCAAATTTGGTGTGTGTGTGTGTGTTCATTTTCCTAGCCTATATCTTGACTTTGGACTTTATGTTAAAGTTAGGCTCTGCTCACCTCGTGGTGGTGGGGCACTGTCCAAAACTTCAAGTTTTTATGTGCTGTTGTTTTCAGAGCTAGTCTTGGAGGTCTGAAAGTTTTCAGTGCTTCCAAGGTCATGTGATCTGGGGAGAAATGTGGTCTCTACTATCTACTGTGCTCTAGTTTTTATCCAGAAAGGGCCCCTGTTCCCCTGTAGCTGCAAGCACTAGTGCTTCTCTTGGTGCTGGAAGTGTGATCAAGTCCTCTCTTCTCCTGCAGCTGCAGGTGCTAGTGCTCTTCCCTGCCTTGGAACTAGGATCATGGTCCTTGTCCTTCTCCACCTTGAAACTGTAATACAGAACTCAGTGTATGGGCAACAGAATTGCCAATTAGCACCCACTGCACCCAAGGCCAGCAGAGGGTCCCTTGTAATCTCTTTCTTACCAGTTGTATGACTCCTTTGCTATCTTTTGGGCTGCGAGATTGCAAAACTGCCACTGCTGCTGTTACAGCTGCCTCCAATGCCCACTGCTGGTGCTACCACCATGTGTACTCTTGGCCAGTCTCTCCCTGATGTCATAGACCTCTCCTGCAAATTTCCTAAGTCACATTAGGCTGGAAAAATATCTCACTTTGACTTTTTGTTGACACAGCTGTTCCAAAATTTGATTTGAGGCATTATTTTAAAGTGATTTGGAGGGGAATGTTGGGAGAATTCATGTGAGTTGCTACCTCTACTCTGCCTTCTTGGCTCTACCACTATCAATTATTTTCTTGGGAATTAAGTGCAATAGCATAAATTCAGAAAACAAACTCACATTGGCAATCCATCATTTAGTTCATAATAAAAAGATACAATTTGGCAACTGACTTGTATTTTCCAGGGAAAGCTCCATTTCTAGTGGATTTGAAGAAACCTGCATCTTGTATTCCACACACCATTAATTTCTATATTAAACCTGAAAATGGAATAACTTTAGGTGTCTGGTAAGTGTAGTGATGTGAAGAATATTTCTAGATGTATTTTAATGTAAAAAGGATGGGGAAGAAGCATCAGGCTCTCGTCTTCATTCCATGTGGAGGGAAGGCACAGGTGTAGAAAAATTTGTGAATGGCCTCAGAATATGTTGAGTATTTCTATATATCTATATAATCTTTGGGATCCCTTGGTTGGGGTTTGAGGGGCATATGGGAAGATTGGGGAGGCAAGTGGGGACATTGACTCACAACTCAACAAATTAAAAAAAACATTTAGTAATGCCTACTATATGCAATATACTGGGCTCTGTACTACAAATATTCACTATTATCTGCTTTTTAATGGTATTTTATCTGTTTTTATTTTTATGATGTGCCTTCAATTTGCATTTCAGCTATCTGGGTTTTTATAGCTAATTCTAGAGTTTTTAAGAGCCTGTCATGCCTTTTTGGTGAAATGAGGTTCAGAGAGGCAATGTACAGGCTTTTGGTTTACCTATCATTAAGAATGTTTGGGTAATAAAAGCAAACTTCAAACTTAGTTTTATGTTAAAATTTACTTCTCATATACTAATGTCTAACACATTACTCTGTGTAAGTAGGTACTCAATTAATGTTGAACTCATTTTTTTCCTGTAAAAACTGATCTTTACATTATCTCCTTGATGTTTCCCTTGATGTAGCCATATTCTTATTTCAATTTTCATTTTCCATTTGTTTCTACATAGGGTAGATATAAGAAATTAGAAAGGCTACAGAGGATAGTGGAAGAAAGAGGAGAAATAAATTATTTGATAAGGCTGGAGGGGGGAATCTATGTACAAATATTTGTTAATGTCTCATCTTTGATTTTCAGGCATATAGTACCTGAAAGCAGGGGGGAAGAAGCAAAAGGGAAGGACCGGAGTTGGTATGAGACAGCTCTTCAAGATGGCAACCCAATTATAATTTGTCTACATGGTAGTGCAGAAAACAGGTCAGTATCCTGCCCTTAGACAGCATTTTTTGAAATAATTTCAGCCCTGGGAAAAGTAAGAGGCTATTCTTGTTTTACCTCGGGTTCACTTTAAATTCTGTAAGCATATTCTGTCATGCTACTTTTTCCTGTTGAAACCTGAAGGTATACTCATGGGAGATTATTGCATTTTAAGGAAGAGAACAGGGAAAGGGCATGGATATGGGAGAATTAGTTCTTACTGTGTGCAAGGAACAAAGAAAGGGCCAGTTTGTCTGGATTGCAAAGTAGTATTTTGTTTTAAATTTGGGAGTTATTTTACAGAGTGGGTCCTTATTTGAAGGGCTGATCCTAATCTTAAGAGGATATAGTTTATATGAAATGAATGAACATAATAAATTTTCATGTCAACAAATACTTATTGAGTATCTGCACTATTTAGAACACTAAAAGTCAGTAGCACAAAATAAAGTTTGAGGCTTGCTGTATTACTCCTTTTTAAATTAATTCTTTTTTACCTTTAGTGCTAAATTCTCTCCTTACCCACTCTCCTGACTCATTGAGAAGGCAAGAAATAAGATACCTATTATATACATTCAGTCACATGAAAGTTATAAATGAATCATATGTTGACAAAAGGGCAATCTCATATTATAAATTGACTTGTCCGTATAGTTTCAAATTCTCATTTAAAAAATCTCTTCTACAGGGCATCTCATCATAGAATCAAGCTTTTGAAGGTATGTTTGAGTAAGCCTCAGGCCATTCATTTGAGAAGTCTTTCTTTTTTCTGGGCTACAAATTCTGCCTCCCCCAAATATCCGATTCAGGGACTGGTAACTTCAGAATGATAATCTATATGACTACTTATCTTTCCAGGGCCATTGGAGCACAGATCTATGCCCAAGACATGGATGTGGTTGGAAGCAATGTTACTATTTTTCATTTTCTTTGGAACAAAATAGATGTGTGTGTGTGCGCGTGTGTGTGTGAGTGTGTGTGTGTGTGTGTGTGTGTGTGTGTGTTACAAACCATGAGAGTTAAGTTTCAGCTTAGGGTCACAGAAGAATCCCATGAGTTAGTTCACAATCCTTTGGGTCCCTTTTGGCAAGATGGAAAAGACATGAATTTTATTTGGCTTCATTGAGTGTTGGAAATAAGAAGGTGGTATGTGAGAGTATGTGTAATTTTCCACATTTCTATAAATGAGATCCTTTGAATTGTTTTCAGTCAGACATTGGTCTCAGCTTCTTTATGCTTCATGAAGTTAAAGTGATGACATCATCTTTTTCCTGTTTCCTAATATTCTAGTTAATCTCAGTTGTTGGGAAATCCTAGTTAACATGCTGACCAGAAGTGGTGATATATTTGAGTTTTTCTATCCAAGTGTTTGAGTTTGAAGGTAATAGTTTGTATGTCACCAAGGTGCTGAGTGAAGGTGGATTTCATGTTCTGGCTATGGATTACAGAGGTAATGTGTTAAGAGTTAAGTACACAGATTTTTTTTTTTACTGCTGTACTTTTTTATTGCATTTGTGAAGTGGTGACCTTGGACATGCTTTTTGATTGCAGGATTTGGGGATTCTACAGGTAAGCCCACAGAAGAAGGCCTGACCAGGGATACCATTTATCTCTATGATTGGACCAAAGCACGAAGTGGAACTACACCTGTCTGTCTCTGGGGTCATTCTCTAGGAACAGGGTAAGTGAAGTAAGCAAGTGCTTCATCTTCATTCCACCAGAATTGTTCTGTTATACAGTGAAAAGAGGCAATGTGGCATTTATGTGTAGTGTAAAGAGCAGTAGATTGAGAATCAGACCAGAGTCCTAATTTCCACTCTCCCCTTAGCTTGCTATCTGACCTTCAGAAATTCACCTAACATTCTGTACCCTCAGTTTCCTTGACTGTAAAACTAGTTGTTAGACTAGTTCTTGCCACTGAAAGTATTTAAGAAGAGGTTAGATGACCACTTGTCAGGCACATTGCAGAGAGCAAAGTACAGGCTCATGCCTACTCAGTTAAGGGTTAGACTAACCAGGTTGGACTAAACCACTGACAGTCCCTTCCAACTCTTAGATTCTGTAATAGGTTCTACAACTAGACAATTTATACATTTTTTTCCATCCCTGTGATCTATTACTATAAAGGCTTCTTCAGAACTCTTTTTGAAAATTACTGTCCTCTCAATTCAAGAAAACAAGGGCTATCCTGTTGAAGTTGTGCTAGAATCTAACATTTGACCAGAGAAAACTACTCTTGTAATTGATTTAAGTTCAATTATTCTACATTGTAAAGTATTTGGTTAAAATCAATTTCTTATACATTAATTTCCTCTTAGCATTTATTGAACAGACATTTTTAACAGTTGGTCATTCTTTAAAATCACAATCTTGGTTTTGCTGAGTACTTTTTAAGTATTTAATTTCTACCATACCTAAAAAAAAATAAGATGCCAGTTGTAGAAAAAGCAATGGATTTGTGTCTAAATTCCACCTCTACTATATACTACTGTATGAACATGGTCAAGTTATTGTCTCCTGTATAAAATGAGCATAATAATACATATAATACCTCCTTTATAAGGTCATTCTGAAAATGAAGTAATGTGGGTAAAACAAATTGATGTGGAACACTATATGTAGTTACAATATAATGTGTGGTAGTATTTATTGTTATCAGAATATATTTAAGATTACAGAACAGAAGTAAAAGCATTTATTTGAAGTGGAATATGGTTAAGTTCAAGTGTAGTAAGAAGACAACCAAGCAACAAGCATTTATTGAGTACCTACCATGGGCTGGGCAATAAGTTAACTGCTAGGAATACAAAGACAAAAGTGAAAATCCCCTGTCCTGTGGGAGCTTACTTTGATGGAGAATCCAACATGTGTGAATATAGGTGCATACAAGGTACATATGAATAAAAAATAAGATAACCTTTGAGGAGAAGTAGCAGCAGCTATAGGGGATGAGGAAAGGACTCCTGTAGTAAGTGGCACTTGAGCTAAGTCTTGAAAAAATACTATATTCTAGGAGGTGGCAGTGAGGAGGAAGATCATTCCAGACATAGAGAATAGCTAGTACCAATAGATAGGGAGTGATTGATGATTAAAAAAAGAAAAAAGGGGATTGTGGGACAACCTCCCAAAGAATATGGATTATCATTGTTGTTCAGTCATGTCTGACTCTTTATGACTCCATTGGGGTTTTCTTGGTAGAGATACCAGAGTGGCTTGCCATTTCCTTCTCCAGCTCATTTTATAGATGAGGAAATTGAGGAAAACAGGATTAAGTGATTGTCCAGGGTCATACAACTAGTAAGTGTCTGAGTCCAGATTTAAGCTCAGAGAGATGAGTCTTCCTGACTCCAGGCCTGGTACTCGATCCATTATACCACCTACCTGCCCCAAAGAATATGGGAGGAGATGGGAATTAAGTGGACATATAGAGGGTTTTGTGTTGGTAATGAGAAGAGCCACCTCTTCATCAGAGGAATTAGTAGAGGATCAACTCGAGGGATTGTTAGATTCTCATCTTATATCTCATCTTGCAGCCTAATGCAAATAATTATGTCCTCAGCTTAGAGGGAAGAAGCACTGTGGGAAATAGGATTGAAAATCAATTTAGGAGTAAAAATCTTGCCTTCCTGAAGTGAGGACTCAATTGAGATTAGATATCATAAATTTGTAGTGGACAGTTAGCTTGCTAGCATGACTTCTTGTTTTGTTTATCAGCATTCAAGCAGAAACAGAGGATGCAGATGGCAGGAGTAATCCAGGGTTGAGGGTTGGCAAGTTGTAAGGGGTGTTAGGACAAGGGAAAAAGGAATTTGAGAGTATGCAATGTCATAGATTTAAAATGGCTCACTAAGGGGTCAAAATTGCAAGGGTGGTAGGAATAATCCAGGATGAAGATTTGGCAAGGTGAAGGGGGTTCTAGGACAAGAGAACAAGGGGTTTGAGAGTAGAAGATGTCATAGAACCATAGAAATGGTTCACTAAAGGGTCTAAATTGGCAAGGAGAGGAGAGTATAGTTAGAGCAGGGGTAAAGGTTTGGAAAGGAGCTGAGAGGTAAAGTGAACAAGGATGAAGACTAGATTTAGGAGAAATAAGGCATGGAGAGATGGAATGGTGGAAGACTGTAAACAGACAAAGGAACCTATAATGTCTTGATCATGGAAGTGGACTTGTGGGTGATGGATCAAGATCAAGATCAAAAGTGTGGTCATCTTTGTAGCTAAGGTGGAGTAGAGAAATTGAGTAGATTGAGGGACAGGAAAGTTAGTGTATTTGAGGGAAAAACAATATGTATGTTGATGTACTCCAGTATGATGGAAAGAGTTGGAGTGGAGATGAAGATTCTGGGTCAGGCAGTGAACTCTTTGAGAAAAGGGGAAGGATGTCTTGGAGACTGGTAGACAACAGGAACCAAGAAAAATGTTGATGGAAATACTCTGCACAATCCATTTATTACTTCTGCTGGATCCCCAGAATAATGGTTTGATAATTTATTATGGTCATTGGTATTGAGTTCCTAAAACTGGTTTTATGTTTGTATTCTGTTTAATTCTTTTGAATGTTCTATTGTTTATATACTTTTTTTTTCAATAGAGTTGCAACAAATGCTGCAAAAACACTGGAAGAAAGAGGTAATTTAAAAGTGGGTTAAAATTATTGTTTTAGATGAAGAAAAATTTAAAAACAGAGGCCTATTGATTACAACTTACAATTACAAACTCAAATCACAAAATACCTGTTATGAATACAAGCAACAGATATTTGAATTATCCAAGCCAGAGATAGAAAAAGTTTTAGTTTAATTTTCTTTTATAATTGATATAAAGTAACAGCTGCTGCCCTAACATAAGAAATTCAGGAAGGATTCTTAGGGAAGTAATTTAACTATTTTAGAAAAGGCACTCTTTGGAAAGTACTAGTTTCTTTACATTACTTCTTTAAGAAGTAATGAAAACAGGCAAGACTTGACTTCTAACTCTAACCTTCATCTGATTAGGCAGAAACAATAAAACATTTTAAAACAATCTATCCAGCATTCTTTCTATAAAACAGTTATTAATCAAGTAATTCAGGTGAAATTGAGGCATTTTTCTTAATTATTTAGATACCTAACTGAAAACCTCAATTAATCCTTTTCTTTTTCTTTTTGTATATGTACTTCACTTTTAGGATAAGCAAATGATAAGAAAATGGTCTTTTATCAGGGTTTAAAATTTTTTTGGTTAATATGCATTCAATATAATCTATACCTTCTAAACTTAATGCTTTCTACAATAAAAATATTACATATCATAGAACAAGTGCATGCAAAATTTACAATGAATATTTTTGATTGATAGGTTGTATGTAATGATGTGGGTTACAAGATTCTCCATCACTGAAGAATTAGACTTAATTATACTTATGATTCTCTACTGAGGAAGGATGGGATATGGGTTAATACATGAGAAAAAAATTTAACAATGTGTGTTGAAGTAAAAGCAGTTCTCTAACTAATCATATATTAATTAAAAAAATCCAATCAATCATAACTCTATTATTAATCTCAATTAATCCCATTTCCTGATCATGTTGATTAAGGAAATTTTAGCTATAATTGTAGCTATATGGATGTAGCCATCCTGGAAGAATATCCAAAGTAATTTCTCACACAAATTCTTTGGGTAGCATGGTCATCATATTAGCATGATATTGCATAGGACATAGCTTTTTGGTAAAGATGTATTTGCAAATTTTATTGATTTTTGGAGAAGCAGATTAACAAAGAGGAAAAGTTTGGAACTGGAAGAAGTACGGTTCATTGTAAATAACATTGTACTGAGATTTAGCAGACATGGGAAATCACTTCATTTCTTTGGGCAATCTAATGAAACTTACGGATCCCTTCTCAGGATGATGATTTTAATATGTAAAATAATTTTACACAGGATCACAAAGGAAACAAATTATATGGAAATAAAGTTATAAAAATATTTAAGAAAAAAGTTCACATATCCTAGGTTAAGAACCCATAAATTAAAAATTAAAATTCCATAAATTAAAAACAAAATAAATTTTAAAAAAGAACCCCTGGACTAGATGATCACTAAGCTGCCATCCAGTTCTATTTCCTAGATCTTTGACTTCAGACTTATGGTTCATGCTTTACAGTGAGATTTCCCGCCTTGTACTCCTTTGCTGAAATAAGGTCCTTTAGAGAATAGTAGTCTGGGGTTGCTGGGGAAGAGGAGAACATTTTAGTTAGGAAATAGCAGGATGGATTTTGATTGGGACAAGCATTTTATATGTGTTGCTGATTTCTTTTTTGATCATAAAAGGGTCCCCAGTGGATGCAATCGTTCTAGAAGCTCCATTTACCAACATTCGTGATGCATTTGCTAATTATCCCATATTAAAGGTAAGGAATAAAATTCATCTTCATATCTGTATTAAAGTATTAGAAATTAGAGTTCTTCAACAGTCTAATCATTTGTCTTTTTGAGGCTAGACACCTTATTAATTGTGAATTTTTCTGGAATTCAGTAGTGAAACGTAAATGGGTTTGTGATGTCTTGAATTTTGGCTTTGGTAATCTCTTTCTAAAGCATTGGGAGTATTAGTTTCAGAGTTTCTATCCAGTCTGTGAGATCTGAGTGTTGTTTATGTCTACCTAATTTTGACTCACAGTATAAAGGAAACCATTTGCCATGTTAAGTAACAGAATTAACCATGAATAAAAATGGGAGAAAATAAAAGATTTCTGCAAGATGAATACTCAACAAGCTTGAATCCTTTGTCTTTCAAGTTTTAATTTATCTTATTTTTAACTAAAACTGCTATAGATCTTAGGTATTTAAGTTTGTAAGTCAGAATTTTCTCCCTTAATAGGAAAACAAATCTCATATTTATCTAAATGAGTAGACCTCTGTATAGATAAGGCCAGGAACAGCTCTTTCACTTCCATTTTGTACTTATTAAAGACATATCCTAAATTCTAAATCTATTTTGGGAATATTGAAGGAGATTATACACATTTTGTAATAAGGTTCTAGATAGAATCAGCTAGTCCATACTATGAAAGAGAGAAAGTGAAAACAGAGAAACATTGTAACTTCAGAGGACAGATGATGAAGCATACCTCTTGCCTTTTAGAAGGGAAGCCATGGACATTCATTTTTAGACATGGGCAATACTTGTTTGTTTGATTGTATTTGTTCCATGGAAATATTTGATTTGGGGAACCTCTGGCAAGCCATTGGAAAGTGGTAGTGATGTGAAAAAAGAACAATTAAATGTTTTTGTTTTGTTTTGTTTTGTTTTTTAATAAAATTAAGCCGGTTTACCTGGCATTTGATTAACTGACATATTTTGTCATATCCTGTACTATGATGATAATTGATGTTTGTTATGACTTAAAGCCACTATAAGATCCTAAATCACTTTCTATTCAAAGATTAAATTACTCTATTTGGTTTATATATTTTTAAAAAATATTATGATTCCTTGAGAATTGATCACCTATCTATGATGCCTAACCATGATAGTGCTTGAATAACCAGAATTCCTTGTTCTTTAACTTCTGGTTAAGAATATTTATGGGAGAAGTATAGTGTACTCCTCTATTGGCACTGCTATTTAAGAGTAGCTTCTTCAAATCATCACAGTTCAAAAGGGGGAAATAAAGTAATGCAATTTCTGTTATAGAAAACATTAATTTTTCTTCTCTTAAAATAGATGTACCATAAACTTCCAGGATTTGTACGTTTGTTTCTGGATGCACTAACGGTAGACAAAATTGTCTTCCCTAATGATGAGAAGTAAGACTAATACATTTTCTTTATTTCTGTACCTGCTATAGTGTTTTTTGAAGTAAGTTTTTAGTAATGTCTTTTTTTTACATCATTATTCTTTTCCTTTTAATTTCAAATTGCTTTGCAAAATGATTTACAATTCATAACTCCACCAACAATGCACCAGTGTGCCTATTATACCACAACCCCTCCAATGTTGACTATTGCCATTTTTTGTTATCTTTGTAATTTTGCAGGACATTTTCCCTCCTCAGGAACCATCCCATAAAAATAGTAGTTTTTAATTACAAAATTTTTAAAAAGAAAAAAGAGAAAAAAAATCAGAACAACTAATGTAATTATTGAAAAAGTCTGAAAACATGTGCAGTGGGCAACACTGTGGACCTCTTACCTTCTTGAATGGGTGGGTTCGGAGTGTCCTTTTTTATCTCTTCTTTTGGCTCTTGCTTTAAATTTAAAATTTTGCAATATTTGCATTTGATTTTTTGTGTAAGGTTGTTCTTTATATTTATATTGTTGTAGTCACTGGGTATATTATTTTCTTGGCTCTGATTACTTAACTGTATCAGTTTGTGCAGATTTTTCCATGTTTCTCTGTACTTATCACATACAACATTTCTTACAGCACGGTAGTATTCCATTACATTTGTATATCATAATTTGCCTAGTTATTCCCCAATTGATAGTCATGTACTTCATTGTCAAATTTTTGCTATTACAAAAATACATGCAATAAAAGAATTGTTGCATATGGAGGCTTCTTATCAATGGCTTTCTTGGGGTATAAAACTCTAGGTCAAAGGGTATAGACATTTTGACTACTTTATATAATTTCAAATTGCTGTGCGAAGTGATTTACAATTCATAACTCCACCAACAATGCACCAGCGTGCCTATTATACCACAACCCCTCCAACATTGACTATTGCCATTTTTTGTTATCTTTGTCATTTTGCAGGACATGAAGTTAAACCTCAGGGTTGTTTTGATTTGAATTTTTCTTATTAGAGATTCAGAGAATTCTTTCATGTGGTTGTTAATTTTTATAATTCTTATTTTGAGAATTTCACAGTCTTTGTTCATAGTCTTTGACCATTTATGTATTGGAAACTGACTATTAGTGATATACATACACATATATACATATATACCTATATGTTCATTGTGTCTCTTAGATACCAAAACCTTTTTAGAGAAATGTGATACAAAGATTTTTCTCCCATTCAACCACTTTCCCTTCTTATCCTAGGTACATTAATTTTGCATGTGTAGAAGATTTTCAGTTTCATATAATCAAAGTTACCAATTTTATCTATTATAATTACCTCTGCTCCTTCTTTAATTAAGAATAAATCTCTTACCCATGGTTATAAGAGGTATAAGATATGCTTCTCTTCTAATTATTTTTTTATCATATGACCTATAATAATATCTTATACATTTGGATTATATTGTAGAATATGATGCAAGGTGTTGATCTAAGCCAAATTTCTGCCAGACTGCTTTCTAGCCTGCTGTACTGTTAGGGAATAAATGATAGTATGGATTACTTGACTGAGAGATGAGAATTCTGAAGCCTATTTGTGAAAAATCAAGTCAACAAACATTTGTTATGCACCTTATATATGCTTGACACCATATTATGTGCAGTAGGATTTGAAATCACTCAGTATAATTTAAGATCTTTGAGGGTATGGATTGTTTCACTGAAATATAAATTTTGAACTCAAAGACAAAAAAATTGCTTCCATATAAATAACACAACACCAAATAAGAACTGTATATTAAACAATGAATCTCTATTTCATATCATTTATTTTTAAAGAAAGTATATTTCTACATTACTTTTAAAAACATTCTGGTCACCTATATTTTCTGTACTCTTCTCTGCATTTAAAACAGTTTTAATGGCCCTCTTTATTTATTTATTTTTTTGGTATTGCTACCCATCCCTTTCTCTACCCTCCCTAAACTAAAAGTCAAGAGAAAGGAGACAAAATGTAACAATTAAGTATGGTCAAGCAAAAATAAATCCACATATTGCTTGTGTCTAAAAATTTTTCTATTTTGTTATGCCCTGAGTCCATTAGCTCTCAGTTAACAAGACAGTACCATGCTTCATCATTGGTTCTATAGAGACATTGTTGATCATTGCTGTGATCAGAATTCTTAAGCCTTTCAAAGTTTTTTTTTTCTCCTTCAAAATGTTGGTGTCCTTGAATAAACTGTTCTGGTTCTACTTACTTTACTCTGCATTAGTTCATATAATCTGGTACACTCTGGAATAGTCATTATGATTCCACATAAAGCAATAATATTCTATTGCATTCATATGCTACAATTTTGTTAAGCTGTTCCCCAACTGATGAGCAGCTTATTAGATTCTAGCTCTTTATTTTCCCCCTTTAGTCAAAATCCAGAAGTTTGTTGTGCTTGTGACTATTCTCACCCAGTATTATCCATCTTCTTAATCCATGCTTTTTTTCAGTTTTAAATTTGATGTATTTCTATACTAAATTATGTGTTTGTTCAACCCTCCTATGTCCATTAAAGAGAAGAGTGAGGTCCATTTGATGCCCAAACCCCACTCCTTCCTTCATGTTTTTATATTCTTCTCACATACCCTAGTTATGAAAATTAACAACTCTCTTCTTCCTCCTTTCTATACTAGTGTATTTCTTTTACTCTTACTTATCTTTCCCCTTATAAAACCCTTAGAACAGAACCAATCCACTCTCAGGTCCATTGTTTTCTTTTCTTTTTTCTTTTCTTTTCTTTCCTTTTTTCTTTTCTTTTATTGTCTTTCTCTTTTATTCTTTGAAATCCCTCAATATCCTTTGAAGTCTTTAAAGGTCTGGAAGGCACACTTTCTTCTTTTCTTTCATTAGAGTATTAGTACTACATCATCAAATAGCCCCTTCCATTTGCACAAATTAATGTACTTTTCTAGGTGTCTCTTGATGCTTATCTTTGAATTCCATAGTTCCTACTCAGCTTCAGTCTTTTCCTTAGAAATGTTTGAATGTGTTCTATTTCCTCTCCACTATCACCCATAGGATTCTAAGCTTAACAGGGTAAGTTACTCTTGGTTGTAAGCCTGTATCTTTTGCCTTGTGAAATGCTATATCCCAAGATCTCTCATTTGTAGTAGAAGTTGCCAGGTCTTCTATGTTCCTTTGGTATTTAAACTACTTTCTTCTAGATGCTTGTAGTATTCTTCCTTTGATATGTAAGATTAGACTTTTGGTTATGAAATCTGAGACTATCTTTTATTTTTAGGAGGTGATGAGTGGATTCCTTCTATCTTCTAGTTTTTTGCTGATGTTCAGTCATTTCAGTTGTGTCTGATTCTTTGGGATCAGATTTGGGGTTTTGTTGGCAAAGATATTGGAGTGGTTTGCCATTTCCTTCTCCAGCTCATTTTATAGATGAGTAAACTGAGGCAAAAGGGTTAAGTTACTTGCTCACAGTAACGCAGTAAGTGTCTGAGGCCAGATTTGACCTTAGGTCTTCCTGGCTCCAGGCCTTGTTTTCTATCCACTGCATCATCTTGCTGCTTCTATCTTCTAATATCTGAGATCTGAGTCAGTTTCATTTACATTTTCTGGGAATGTACTGTCCATTTCTTAAAATTATTATTTACAGGAATTCCAATGACTCTTAAATGATCTCTTCTTGGCCTGTTTTTCATCTTACTTGCCCTGGTGAGACCTCATCAGGGGTATTATATTCAGCTCTGTGCACTATAAAAAGCTATATTAGAAAGGACACTGATATGTTAGATGGCTTTCTGTGGAGGGCAACCAGAAAGGTAAAGAGGTTTGAGGTCATACTGCACACCAGTTAGAAATGTTTAGTCAAGAGAAAGGTACACCTAAGGGCAACATGATAGCCATATTTGAAGGCTATCATTTGGAAGAGGGATTACATTTGTTTTGGTTGGGCACAGATGGTAGAGTGAGGAGTAATGGATAAAAGTTACAAAATGGAAGATTCAGACTTGAATTAAGGAAAAACTTCTTAACAATTAGAACTATCCAAAAGTAAAATGGGCTATTTCAGGAAGTACATAGGGGACCCTTTTCCCAATGTAGATTGAGTTAGATGGCCTCAATGGTGCCTTCCAACTCTGAGATTTTATCTCTGCTTGTTCATAATTAGCATAGGTAAAAGGAAAACTAGAAAGAAAATTGTAGTTTTCCACTAGTATTTGTTGCAGAAGATATTGAAGGACAGAGATTCTATGAAGAACTTGATTTTGGATCTTCTTCCAAAGCAAATCAACATACACTTTGATTCTTCATTACAAAGAGCCCAGGATGGGGGTGGGGGAAGAGGAGAGAAGGACACTAAAAGAATGTTGGAAAACAGTTCTGATTTAAGAAATGAAACAAATTTGTAGATTGCTCAGTATCTTTTTCCATGTATATAATAAAAATTTTGTCAGTTAGATATTTGTAAGTTACCAAGCATGATGAAATATCATCACAAGAAATATCACCTATATCTTAGTAGAAATGGACTTGTTACTAAATGGGCAATCATTTTATGATAAACTGTTTATGTCAAATCAGATGAAAAAATAGAAGATAATGCATTCAGTTATAAGAGCTTCAGTAAGTCCTGTTTAAACAAGTTGATGTGTGAAAAATTGGTAACATAAAAATAAAGACAGTGACTGATTATTGCTATTTTAAGAACAATTACTATATATCAAGAAAGTCAAATGAACATGGAAACTGCTTCAACAATTCTTGATCTTTAACAGACTCTTGATCTGCTTACCAAGGAATCATATAAGCCAAAGAAATCAGCAATTTAGGATACAGGCTTATTTGGTATATAATACAGAATAAGAAGATTAAAAATCACACAATTTCACCTCAGAAATCACTGGAGGGCAAAGTGAATTTCAGAATGCTTGACCTAACACCCAAATCAGTGAAATCATCTGAAAAGCATTTGTAAATGAGAGAGGAATAGATATGCCAATATTTCTCTAGCTATCTATTCTTATCCTCAGTACAATATATGAGGAAGTAGCAATGCAGAAGAACTTGGGAAGAGTGGATGGATTTAAACCAATGCATAAAAAGCCATGTCAGATGTGACACAATTTTTAATGTTACTCAAAGAATGATTTTCAACATATCTTAAAAAGAGGAAAATTCCAAAAGAATGAAAAACAACACAGGTAGCATTATTTAAAATAAAAAGGCAACTATAAAAATAAGCAAAATTTGACCCATATGCCTTCTTGTTATATGAATATATAACATTAGGAGCCTGGCCTATGCATTTATTGGGGTGTCTTAAATGAAAACATTTTCTACAGTAGACTGTATCTTTAGTCACATAATTGAGTGTGCAAAGAGAATACAAAATCCTATTGTGTTCATTGTCCCTCATCAGAAGAAATCTTTTTATTTTATAGAGCATAAGCAGTCTTAAAGTCTCTCTTCCAATGGTATCTCCCTTGAATTCTTTGATTTTTTGATAGATGAATAAAAAGAGAAAATTTGGTTTAATGACCCTGTATTAAGTAAGGCAAAAACTAGAAGATGTGATTATGAAATGGTGTTCATCATTGTTTTGGAGACTGTTGGGTACAAAGTTCAGATGGAAGAAAGATTAAAGCATTAGTTTGCAAGAGCAAAAATCCTTATATATTTCTTTAGCTTAAAGTATTCTTTCTCCTTCTTTCCTAGTGTTAAGTTTTTATCCTCACCTCTTCTGATCTTACATGCAGAGGATGACAAGACTGTGCCTTTAGAAATAGGCCAAAAGGTAATTATTATTTTAAAGTTATACTTAAGTAAATACTTTGAATAAAATTAATAACAGATATCTTGCTATTCTCTCATTTAGTCTGTTTTCCCTTGAAAAATTACTTTGTTTTACAGCATAAATAGGAGTTTATGATATTTTAGGAGGTGTCAGTGTATTAATTTTTTTTTCTCCCTGATTGTGGATAGAGGTGATGATTGTAATACATTAGAGAAACACATGGTGGATATAAATATATTGTAGCATATTTCCATTGATGACTTGTATGCAAAAGGTGACATTGAAAATATCATCAAATAAATATGAGAAAAAAATAGAAGGAGCCTAAAAATTATTGCTAATAATTATGAAATCTCAGGCAAAAAAATGAAAATCATAGGGGCACAGGCTGTGTTTTCTTAACTGTTGCTCACAGAAGGTAAAGATACAAAAGACAAAAATGAATTTGGGAAATAGCCATTTGATTAAGAAGGTGTTGTCTGTGAATGGGATTTGTATTTCTGGATCATGATTTATAATATAGGGATGATTGATTTTTTGTCAGAGTTGGAGAAACTCTGGTTAGGTACATATTTAAATGTTAAGAAAATATTTGCCAGTTGTCTTGCAAATCTAATCAAAAGGGTTTTAAATTATAAATAAATAATATAGGAGAGAGAAAACTAAGTATATCTCCTAAGTTAAATACTACAAAAATTAGCTACAAAGAAAGAAGAAGGGAAGATACCCTCCCCCCCAAATAACAGAATATAAAGTCTAAAAAAAGTATCAGCAGTAAAATCTATAGCCTTAAGTATATATACATAAATGCCTTAAATTAGACAACAAACAAAGAGGAACTATTTTCTGGATAAGAGAAATGACATTGACACTAATAATTTCATTCAGAAGGTAATCCAATGTAAATTTAACGGCTACATTAAACAAGATCCAAAAAGCTTGGAAAGTTCCTTGATCAGCAAACATCTGATAGCAAACAGAAAAAAATGACAGGTTAGATTATGAACTTGCCTGTAAAATCTTATAAAAAAGTATGATAGTCAGTTATTATAAATATCATTTCAAAAAGCAGAGGGATTGGAAGGTAAAATGAGTTTAAAGAAAGCTTGCCAATATGTCCAACTAAGCAAAGTCATCCCTAAGAGAAGAATGTAAAAATAAGGCCTACAAAAAAAAGAAAAATGGAAAAGATTTACAAAAATCCTTGAAATACACATTTAAAAAAACCAAATATGCTGAAACCAGTATAGTTGGACCTCAACATCACAGCTCTTTAAGTTCTTATAGAGGAGGTAGAAATGGGAATAAGAGGGAATAAAGATGGGAAAAGCAGCTAGACTGGACCAAGTATACATAGAGGATATCCATTCTGGAGGCATTACAACTGTGAGGGCATGGGGAGATTGATGTACAAGGTGTCTGAGGAAGAAGAAGATACCAAAGGCATGGGAAAAACATCCTTGACATTCTTAATAATGAAAAAAGGCAATCAAGAGAAAATCAACAACTACTAACATATATGCCTATTCTCCTGAGTATATAATTTCTTTATGAGTAACCCATTCACCAATTGGAGACATCCTTGATAATGGTATAGCTTTATACCTTTAGCTCTTTAATTAACTACAAGCATAATGTGAAAGCAAAGTTCAGTCATTCTGAGGAGACATATTTGAGAGATGTTACAAAGGTGAAAGTGACAGGCTTTAGCAACAGATTATCTATGGGTGACGAGAGAGAGAGGACTGAAGGATGGAGGATAGTTTGTGAACTGGGGGAACTAGAAGGATAGTAGTGTCCTTTTCCATAATAGGGAAGTTTGGAAGGGAGTAGAGAGTTTAAGTTGAAGTATAATGTGTTCTATTTTGCACACATTGTGTTTAAGATGGCTACAGGAATCCATTACAGGATTCTCATAGGTAAAGATACAAGACTGAAAGTCAGCAGAGAGGTTAGGCCTGGGTAAGCAAATGTGGGAATCATCAGCATGGAGGTGATAATTGCATCCATAAGGACCTATGAAATCACCAAATGAATATAGTATTCAGGGAGAAGAGAAGGGAAGAGGGTCTAGGACACAGCCTTTTGAGATACCCATAGTTGACAGGCATGACCTGGATGAAGATTCTGCAAAGGAGACTGAAAAGGATCAGTCAGATCCTTTTGGTAAGAAGAGAACCATAACAGAGAAGTGTCCCAAAAACTTAAGAGGGAAAAGAATATCAAGGAGAAGAGTTTGATTGATTGTGTCAAAGGCTGCAGAAAGGTCAAGAAGGATAAAGATTGAGAAAAAGGCCATTGGATTTAGAAACTAAGAGATATTGGGAACTTTTGGAGAAAATAGTCTCAGTTGAATGATGAGGTTGGAAGCCAGATTATAGAGAGTTATGAAGAGAGTGACAGTAGAGGGAGTGGAAATACCTATAATAGATGGCCTTCTAAAAGAGTTTAGCCAAAAACGCATAAGAGTAATGAGATGAAAAATCAAATGAAGGCTTTGTGAAGATGAGGGAGACATAGGCATATTTGTAGGAAGGAGAGGGAACAAGCATTTAGATAGCTACTATGAACCAGGTACTGTGCTAAGTGCTTTTACAAATGTTAACTCATTTTGTATTCTCACAACAACCTTGCAAGATAGGTACTGTTATTAGTTCCATTTTACAATTAAGGAAACTGAGGCAGGTAGATTAAGTGACTTGCCTAGAGATAGTAAGTATTTGAGAATGGGTTTGAACTCAGGTCTTACTGTCTCCAGGCCCAACATACATTGTGCTATCTAGCTATCTCTTTTGTAGGCATTAGGGAAGCAGCTGGTTAGATAGTGAGAATTTGAAGATAAGTGAGAGAGTGGAACGATAGAGAGGGTAATCTATTGGAAGAGGTGGGGTGGAATGGGATTAATTATATATGTAAAGGAGTTTGCCTTGGCAAAAAGAAGCACAACTTCATAATTTAAGATAGAGATGAAGGAGGAAATAGTGGCAGAAGGCATGTGGGTGATATGAATTAAAGAGAAGAGGGAGCTTTTGAAGAATGGCCTTAAATTTTTCTCCAGTAAAACATGAAACAAAATTCTCAGTTGAGAGAATGGGGTAAGGGGAGCTATGGGAGGTTTGAAAAGGAATGAAAAAGTATGGAAGAGTTGCTGTGGTGAGTGGGATAGTGAGTTATTTAGGGAGGTGTGAAAGGATTGCCTAGTAGCAGTGAGGGCTCATTTGAGGTTATATAATATAAACTTGTAGTGGACTCAGTCAAGACAGTTGTGTAATTTTCTCCAACTTTGTTTGGCATCGTATTTGCAGGAGAGATCCAGGGCACAATTGAAAATATGATAGAGGTCTAAGTGACTCAAGAAAAGAGAACAGTATAGGGATGAATTGGTTCACCAAGGGGTCAAATTGGGTAAAGGAGGAAAGTGTGGAGTGCAGGGGTGGGAGGGATCTAAGGGGTCAAAATATCAAAGGTCACCATGTGGATAAAGAGCAGGGTTTACTATTGAAAGGTAGAAAGAGAGATAGAAATGTAATATAGTTTAATCAGATAGAAGAATATTAGATTTCATGAATGTGAAGGTGGTGTATTTTATGTCAAGGTATGATCATCCTTATGTGTAGCTGAGGTAGGGCCAAAGAATAAGTCATGGGAAAAGAGAAAATTGGTGAACTGGGATGTTAGAGTGAGTGAATATCAGTATGTATATTGAAGTCTCCTAGTAGGAGAGCAGGAGTTATGGAGGACACAAATATTGTGAGCCAGGTACTGAACTTATTGAGGAAAGGAAGGGGGAGAGCATCCTGGAGGTCTGTAGACAACATTCATTAAGGTTTTGATTGGGCTATATATGTGATTGCATGAACCTCAAAGGAGGAGAGGTTACTGAGTGATGATGGTAGGGAGAAAACCTGGAAGAGTCAAAGGGGAGCAAGGAGTACTCAAACTCCTCCATCTCAACCAATGAGTCAGGTGAGTGAGTGGAAGTTCAGCAGAAAAACAGTGGCTCAGGTTGCTATATCATCAAGGAGGGAGCCAAGTCTCAGTGAGACCCAGAAGAAGGAAGGAGTCAGAAAGGAAAAAAAATTAAGCTGAATATAAGTTTACTTCTTGTGGAATGAACATTCCAGCGACCATGGTGAAAGCTTTAGAGTGGGTCTTTGGGGAGGGGGGAAGGGTTAAAGAGAATGGGAATAAGGAACCAAGGCAGCAGGGGATGGGGAATGAGGTTGGGTGATGACATACTGGGTTTCAGAATTATTGGGATATGGAGCATATATCAATGAGGGGTTTGTTAATCACTCAATAAAAATTTGGAGATTTTCAAAGTCAATAGTATTATGATCTCTTGGGAGAGTCCTTTGAGAGTCTTGGGCAGTTCAAGTGTGGGAACAAGAACTTGAAGCAGAAGGAGTGGTAATATTCTCCTTCTCCCAAAGCAAGAGACTAGTCTGGAAATGTGATAGAATGAGATCTTCTTCCATCATCTCAGCAGCAAGAGACTATTTTGATGAAATGGTGCTTCTGTTCTTCCCCCTGAGGATAAATGAGGGATATGATGTTAATATATCCAGCTCTCCTCCTCTTACTTTTACTGGAGGCTGGAGACCAAGCAGAAAACTCAAGGAGATCATATTGCTTATGGAATGAATCTGCCTCTGAAGAACTAAAGATGAGTATCACACAGAGTGCAGTGAAGAGGCTAATCATGGGTGTGAACTGGCTACAGCATATAACTAAGAAGGAACTCTGAAGAATAGGCTTAAAGGATATTCAAGGAACTATATGACAGAAAGAGAAAATGGGCTAGTAAAAAGGATAAAAGATAGGGATATGGGAGGGGAATTGATTAGAGCTGAGCCAGTAGGCAACTGAGAGGACTTCTGGTGAACAGTATTTGTAGCCTATACCTCATTTAAATGTTTGTATCTGTTTATTAAATAACTAAGTTTGTATTTTGAGACTAAAAGAGGGGAAGTTAATCTGATTTAATTTTGGATGTGGAATTGAGACAGAGAAAGAATTTTTGTAATTTTTTTGAGACTATTCAAGAATATACCAAGCAGACTGACCTGAACTTGTTGAGAGAAAATTTATGAGAGGTGAAGGTGGGGGGAAGAGGTCAGGGAGTTTGTGTGTTTGTCCTTGAATATACCATGTATAGTCTAGCACGATGTACCACAGCCATAGTTTTCTAAATCAGAAAACTTTTGTTTGCACCAGTAGGCATAGGTGGGACAAGGATGAAGTTTCTTTGAGATGCTTCTACTTTGTTGCTATGAGATTAATTAGGAATGTGGTAGAATCATTGTGTTCCCCAACTTTAAGTTCATCTTATTAGTTCATCTGAACTAATTAATAGTCTTTCTTTTTAAGCAAGAAAAACATTCAGTGAATTTTGTTTTAGAAAATACTTAATTCAGACTCAAATGTTGATCTTACTTCTTTAAGATTTTTATTCTCTACCCTTACAGGTATATGAAATTGCCCATAATGCATACAAACACAAAGAAAGAGTGAAGATGGTTATTTTTCCTCCTGGTTTCCAACATAATTTCATATGCAAAGATCCTAGGTTGGCAATGATTGTGAGGTAAGGATTAACTGCTCTAAACATTTTTCTATCAATGGAAACTGAGTACATGAAGAATAAACAAGCTAACATTTATACTCTTTCTTCAGAGATTTCCTGAGAGAGCAATGGACATGAATAACCAGAGTAAATTCCACCATGAAGAAGATAGCCAAGATTTGCAAACTTCCTACATTAAAAGTTCAAAGCTTATGCAGATGAGCTGGAGTGACTCATATGCTTATACACTAGTTCACATATATTAAACCCAACAAACAATGAAAAATATTGCTGTAGTTTCTACAGCATCTTAAATTGGCTCAAGAACTTTTGTATGAAATTTACTTAAGCATCCAAATAATACTGTTCTTTATAGAGTAGAATTTTATTTAAGATGGGAAGAGACAACATAATCTAATGGAAACACCATTTTAACAGGTAGCTTGAAGACTTAGGTTCAGTCATCTTCCAACAAGATTTATCATGTCCTCTACTCAGGAAATCTTCAGTATTTCCCTACTGCCTCTTCAACTCCCCATTTAAAGTAATTTACAATCTGGTTTCAGTCTACTTTTTAAAAAAATTATTATTTATTTAACATTCTTTTTAAAATTTGAGCTCTGAATTTTCTCCTTCCCTCCAAGCCCTTTTCCACCACCTGAGAAGACAAGCAAAATGGTATCGATTATACATGTGAAATTGTGCAAAACATATTTCTATATTATCCATATTTCAAAAAAAGCAAGAAAAATAAAATGAGAAAATTATACTTCAATTTGCACTCAGAATTCATCAGTTCACTCTCTGGAGATACCATAATAATGACAAAGTTTTTAGGACTTACATGTATTATCTTCCCACATAGGAATGTAAACAGTAACTTTATTGAGATTCTTATGATCACTCTTTCATGTTTACCTTTTAATGTTTTTCTTGAGTCTTGTGTTTTATGTCAAAGTTTCTATTCAGCTCTGGCCTTTTCATCAGGAATGCTTGTTTTTCTTTTGGCCATGAACTCTGAGTGTCTTCCCCTCCCGGTTTGATTTTTTTTTTTTAATTAAAGGGCTATCCCTATACTCACTTCTTAAAAAGGCCTGTTCATTAAATGGGTGTTGCCTCAATCAAAGTGACAACTGGAAAAGACCTTAGTTTAAAAAGGTCTCCCACTGTATCCTGGGCCACCTTCAGTCATATTGGTCTATATCTGGCCACTGGACCCAGATGGCTGTGGAAGTGAAAGTGAGACTGGTGACTTTGCACAGCTGTCCCTTACTCAAATCCAATTCAATTGCAAGTCATGTCATCACCTCCCTGATGTCATGGTCCTTTTCAAGAATGAAGGACAAACCACACAAGGGTATAAGACAAATCCACATAAGTACTTTCTATTCTATATATTTAACCTACAAACTCAGCAGAAACAAGGGGAGCATATCTTCTAAGATACACCCAGGAATTATATAAATCTAGCTGTAAAACACCCTTTGCAGAAATAAAAACAGACCTAAATAATTAGAGAAGCTTTAATTACTCACAAGTAGGTCATGCTAATGTAATAAAGATGATAATACTGGATAATCTAATTTATTCAGTCCTGTGTCAATTAAACTCCCAAAAGAATATTTTAAAGGGGCAGAAAAAAATAATAAAATTCATATGGAGGAGGAAAAGTTCATGAATTTGAAGAGTAATAATGAAAAAGAGTGAGAAGGAAGTCTTATCAGTACCTGATCTTAAACTGTATTATAAAACAGTAATCATTAAATGATTTTGTACTGGTTTAAAAAAAGAAAGGTCAATAATTGGAACAGATTAGGTACACAATGTACAGAAGTAAACAAACCTAACAGCATAATGTTTATATGAATCCCAAGAGCCCAGTTACTGGGGGAAGGACTCATCATTGGGCAAAATCTACTGGGAAAACTAGGCAGGTTTTCTTGCCATACACCAAGATAAGCTCCAAATGTTTACATGACCTAGGTACAAAAGATCAACTCATAAAATAAATTAGAGGACTAAAGAAGAAATTACTTTCAGATCTATAGATAGGGGAAAAATTTGGTGACCAAAAAAGTAACAATTTTGATTATATAAAACTAAAAGTTTTTGCAGAAGTAAATTTAATGTCAAAATCAGAAGTAAAATGGGTAACAGATATTTTTAACAAGTTTATCTGATAAAGGTCTCAAAGATATATAAGGATGTGATATAAATTTATAAGATAAGGGTCATTCTTTTTTTTTTTGACTAGGCAGTGGGGTTAAGTGACTTGCCTAGGGTCACACAGCTAATAAGTGTTATGTGTCGGAGGCCAGATTTGAACTCAGGTCCTCCTGAATCCAGGGCTGGTACATTCTTTAGTAGACAAATTGTGTAAGACAGTTTTCAAGGAAAAAAAATCTAAGCTATCAACAATCACATGAAAAAATGCTCCAAATTACTAAGAGAGATGCATACCAAAGCACCTTTGAAGTTCTACCTCACACCTACCAGATTGACCAAGATGGAAACGAATAAAACAATACACCAGATTACCTTTGAGGTACGTTCATCCAAAGCCCCCCTTAGCATGTCACCAATTATGCTCAGCCTGGGATCACTTTCACCACCCATCACTCTTTACTTTCATTCCTACATATACAGCTTACTTTGCATATACTTATTTGCAAGCTGTCTTGCCCATTAGATTGTAAACTCCTTTATGGCAGAGACTGTCTTTTGCCTCTTTTTATAAACCCAGCACTTAATACAGTGCCTGACACATAGCAGGTGCTTAATAAATGTCTATTTATTAATTGTTTGATAATGTTAGATGGTTATATCAAGAATTCTGAAAAGCTTTTTATATAAAGTACCCCCTGGTTTGTATCCAGAGATAATGTTAGTTTCCAATATAATAAAATTATTATATTTTCGTTAATTTGACACATTTGTATTACATTAAAAATCTGAGTATTTTTCTGTCTGATCAGCTTTGGTAATGGCAGTAGATCACCACCTAGTCTTATAAAATAATTGGCCCCCTTAATAGTATTTAAACTCTCTTAAACTTAAGTTCCTTGAACTTAGCCCTTTATTCAATCCCATTAGATAGACATTTTTCTTCCAAAAGATAATTGAAACTACTTACTACGGTTTTATTTTTAAAAAAAGGAATATTGCAAAATATACTTAGGCACAATAAAATATTTGGCTACTACTCCCCCTCCTCCAAGATTGTTCAGAACTCCATCTCATTGATTCATTTACCATTTTATTTATTCAACACCTCTCTAGGTTCATTAGGTAGAGGGATCTTCAAGTCTGAAGGTTCCATACTCCAGATGTCCTTAGCATATTCCTTAATTGTTCGGTCACTTGAGAACTTTCCTGAGGCAGCTATGTTTTTCACTACCATTCTGGTCCACTCTTTTGAATTCTGTAAACAAAAAATATACTATTATTATACTCTATTCTCCTATTCACTTGGGAAACATTTGACAAATTTGGTTTATCTTAAAATCTCACAGAAAACAATGACAACGTAATTTTCTTATGTTACAGAAAATTATAAATAGGCAGTTAGGTGGCCCAGTGGCTTCAGGGCCTGGAGTCAGAAAGAACTGAGTTCAAATCTAGCCTCAGATACTTAGTAGCTTTGTGACCCAGAGCAAGTCATTTAATGTCTGTTTGCCTCAGTTTCAACTGTAAAATGGGGGGAAACCCCAACACGTATGTCACAAGATTGTTGTAAGGACCACATAAGATAATACTTGTAAAGCACAGAGCACAGTGCCTGGTACATAGTAGGTGTTAATATAAATGCTTATTCCCTTCCCTTTCCTTCTTAAGTTATAGAAAATTATAACTAAGCAACTAACAACAAAACTAACAGTAGGTTTGAGAAACTAGATATTGTATGTCATTTGCTTACTGAAACTCTAGATTATATTTCACTGGAGACCAGAAATACTAATTTTACAAATTGTTAGCTCTGAAGTACCTTTGCTTCAGTAGTCATTACTTCTTATAAAATTGGAGGTTCTCTAAGTTTGTATTTTTAAGAATATTTACCTACTGTACTGAATTCATATGTTTCAATTTGTAATTAACAAAGCTGCTACTTCCTAGTTTATGATGGTAACATAAGCTTTCTGGAAATCCTGGCAATTTCAAAATGATTAATCAAAATTTATTGAACATCTGACAATGCCTGTCACATTATAAAGACAGAAAGGGGGTAACAATTTAGTTTCAGTTGTAAAGTAACTTTTACAATACAGACGTATTCTAAATGATGAAGAATATAAACAGGCAATTTATTGTAAATCTGAATACTGATAGAGAGGTAAGTATGGAGTTGGATGGGTTTATTCCATTCTCAGTATATTTTGAAAGTGGGATACAGATAGAACACTAATATTAGAAGTGAAAACTGGTCTTCTCAGCTCCTTCCATTCTCTTCTCTGCAGATTTCACAGCAGAGAGGCAGATCTTCCCATAGCAGAAGGGCCAAGAAAGTGGCAAGTGTCCTGGCCCTGGATTCAGGAAGACCCAAGTTTAAATCTTGCCTCAGGCACTTACTAACTGGGTAACCCTGGGCAAGTCACTTAATCTTCTCCAACTCCTATCTCCTACCTGTAAAACAAAGGAGTTGGATGTCACATTCTCATCAACCCCTCTGATTTTGACTCCAGGAACATCATACTACCCCTAGGATAAGCTCACCACCAGAAATCTCATCATCATGGAGAATGCTTTAGCTTGGATATGCAACCTACCCTCAATTGCATCCCTTCTCTGATTCCAGGGATGGAGTTCAGTGTAAAAAACTCCTCTCAAAGTCTCCCTTTATAGAGGGCTCAGGCTTTTCCAGCCAAGTCTTCATTTCTCATCAGTTATTTTTCTTGATTTTGACTTAAAAATATCATGCCCCGTGCTGTATATACCCTCTGGCAGCACCCCTCACCCCATTTTGCTTCTTTTTGTGTTTTGTCTTCTCCCATTAGATTGTAAGTTCTGTGAGGGCAGAGATTGTCTTTCTCCTTATGGATTTCCATCCCTAGCACTTTAGCACAGTTCCTGGAACACAGTAGGGACTTAATAAATGTTCATTGAAAATTTAATTGGCTAATGGCCTTTATAATTCCTTCTAGCTCTAAATCTATGAACCAAAGTATCTTATATGGAATATTACCTCCTAGGTACATATATGTTCATGGATAGATTGAGCCAATATTTTCTCATTTTACATTACTAGCTATAACACAAGTGAACCATCTAGCTAATGCTCTACAAATCTCATTACAAAGATATACTCTGCCAATATAAATGGTTATCTTTTAGCAATTTGGAAAAGCATTTTACGTATTTATACATTAATAGTAAACTATATACATTCACTATAAAAAACTGCCATTTTAAAACTAGTTCAAATATATGAAATATCATTTTAGAAAGTCTGATGCCATGACCACAAAAAGTTAGTTATTTACATTTCATGGAGTTGGAGCTAAGGTGATGGAGTATCAAGAAGCAGTCTGAGGAGCAGTGAGCTCCTTAAAACTTCTCCAAAAACATATAGAAAATGCTGAACCCTGATAAGGAAATCCAAGAAAAAGTCACAGTGAATCAAGCCTAGGTCAGCTTAGGGAGATACACTGAGAGGTCTGCAGAAACTTGTGATGGATTGGCCAAGAGCAGCTAAGTGGAACACTCCATTGCCTAGGGAGGGGCTATGCATCTGGGAAAGAGGAAGTCCCAGACCCATTCTCATGCACTGCAATGGGAATGGGTGCCAACTGTCATCTTTGTTACCTACTACCTAGTTCTGGATCGCAGACACAGGGTGGGCCTGTGTCCAGGAGTAGCATGCTTTTACACATAATACCTCACTCTCTTGTTCTAAACATCAGGAAAAACTTTTTTTTTAATTGATACTTATTATAAGAGAGGCTACATGCCCTAAGCAGTGTGTGAAGAGAAGTTCTGAAATAAGCAGCAGCTGTGGGACTAAGACTATGGGAACAGAGTGGGATCCCAGTCTTATCTTCTGGCTTATTCTGGAGCCTACCAAGAAATCATGATAACAGGAATCCTAGACTAATGGAGAGGCTTTAATTCTGTTACTTGCTGTACCAGCTAACCAATAGGTGCAAGTCCAGCGGTAGTCAACTACTGCTCAGACCTAAACCCAGGTTAAGAACTTACAAAGTTCAAAGGCCAGGAGACAGCAATCAGACTTTTGGATTAGATGATTTTGGGAGTACTGAAAATCCTAGAATAACCAAGAAAACAGCAATAGGATGAAGCCCAGACCTTCCTTCCAGAAATGCTCAGATCCTGTGTTAATATCAAATCTGATGTTAGGAAGTAGGCTGGGAAAATAAGCAAAAAACAAATGAAGAAAAAGAAATCTACCATAAAAAGACCCAGAAGACAATGACTCAAAAACATCTACAAGGGAAACCTCAAAGAACAACAGAGTTTGGGTACAGGTTCAACTAGAATGCCTGGAAGAGATAAAGTAAGAGTTGAAAAAGAGTTAAAAAATACTTTTCATTAATGAAATAAGAGTGCTATAGGAAAAGACCAAAAAAGAGAGCTGTGGAAGAATTGGAAAGGGAATTAACAGCTTAGCACAAGAGGTACAAAACTTTGCCAAAGCAACAAACTTAAAAAAAAAATTAGAATGGACAAAATAGAAGCCAATGAATGCATGAAACTATAAGAAATATTAAAATATAGCCAAAAGATTGAAAAAAATTGAAGAAAATGTAGAGATAATTTAATAATCATCAAACTAGCTAAAAGTCATGATAAAAAAAAAAAAGATCCCAGACATATTTAAAGAAATCTTGATAGAAAACTGCTTCTCAGAACCAGAGTGCAAATTGGATATAGAAAGGATCTACAGGTCACCTCCCAAAAGAAACCCCAAATAAAAATCCCAGGAACATTATAGCCCAAATCCAGAGCTTTCAGTTCAAAGAAATAATACTGCAAGGATTCAGAAAGAAAGCATTCAAGTATTAAGTAGCCACAGTCAGGATCACACATGATTTAGCAGCCAAAGACTTAAAGGAGTGGGGAGCTTGGAATATGACATATCAGAAGACAAAGGATATGGGATTACAGCTGAGCAAAACTGAGTATAATCCTACATAATGGGAAGGGATCCTTAGTGAAATAGAACACTTCCAAGCTTTCCTAATGAAAAGACCAGAACTCCATCAAAACTTTGAAGTTCAAACAGAGGAGTTAAAGAGAAACATAAAAAAATGGTAAACACAAATAAACAACCACAAGGGACTAAATAAGGATAAACTTTAAAAAAAAAATAATTTATTTATTTTTAGTTTTCAACATTCACTTCCATAAAACTTTGAGTTTTAAATTTTCTCCCCCCCCATGAAGGCATGCAATCTGATATAGGCTCTACTTATACATTAATATTAAACATATTTTCACATGATGTAAAGAAGAATTAGAACTAATAGGAAGAACCACAAGAAAGAACAAAACCAAACAATAAAAGAAAAGGAGATCAAATAGTATGCTTTCATCTGTATTCAGATTCCAAAGTTCTTTCTCTGGATGTGGAAAGCATTTTCCATCATGAGTCTTTTATAGATGTCTTAGATCCTTGCATTGCTGAGAAGAGCTAAGTCTATCAAAGTCAGTCATCACACAATGTGGTTGTTACTGTGTACAGTGTTCTCCTAGTTCTGCTCATTTCACTCAGCATCAGTTCATATAAGTCTTTCCAGGTTTTTCTGAAGTCTGCTTGCTCATCATTTCTTACAGCATAATAGTGTTCCATTACACTGACATACCACAACTTGTTCAGCCACTCTCCAATTGATGAACATCCTCTTAATTTCCAATTCTTTGCCATCACAAAAAGAGCTGCTATAAATATTTTTGGGTGCTTTTCACATTTTTATGATCTCTTTGGGCTACAGACCTGGAAGTGGTATTGCTGGGTCAAAGGGTATATGTACCGTTTTATAGCCCTGTGGGCAGAGTTCCAAATTGTTCTCCAGAATGGTTGGATCAGTTCACAATTCCACCAACAATGCATTAGTGTTCCAATTTTCCCACATCTTCTCCAACATTTATCATTTTCCAGTTTTGTCATGTTAGCCAATCTGATAGGTGTGATGTGGTACCTCAGAGTTGTTTTGATCTGCATTTCTCTAATCAATAGTGATTTAAAACATTTTTTTCATATGACTATAGATACCTTTAATTTCTTCCCCTGAAAACTGCCTGTTCATATCCTTTGACCATTTATGAATTGGGGAATGACTTCTATTCTTATACATTTGACTCAGTTCTCTATATATTTTAGACATGAAGCCTTTATCAGAGACACTGGCTGTAAAAATTATTTCCCAGGTTTCTGCTTTCCTTCTAATATTGGTTGCATGATAAATTTTTGATTCTAAAATGGGGAGATGATACATGTGTTTCCTCTGAACCCTATCATCATCTGGGGTCACAGAGGGTGTCTTAATTAGGCAAGGCTTAGCAGTGATTTTATTATGTCTTGATGACCTTAAGAGAAGAATGGAGAGAGGAAGAAGAATACACTGTGAGGGAAAGGGAAATGAGGTTATGGAAAATGATATCACATTACCAGGGTGTGCAAGTAGACATCTACATAAAAAAGGATGAGAGGTGGGGGGTAGTGGTTGACATGAAATTCACTCTAATCTGAGCTGGTTAAAGGACGGAAAATGCACAGCTGGATGCAGGAATACATTTCATTTAACCAGAAGGGAAAGGGGAGAAGGAGGAATTAGAAGGGGAGGTAGATTAAGAGAGGAATTTGCTTAGGACTAATTAAGAGAGGAATTAGTCCTAAGCAAAACAAACTCTAAGGATGTATGAAATATTTGTAGCTATTTTTAGGTGCTAAAAAATGAGAATATGAGGGGTTGCCCATAAATTGAGGAATGAATGAATAAACTATTGTACATAAATTTGATGGAATATTTTTAAAAATTTGAATGAACCAAATAAAAGTCAGTTATTTGAGATGATCTTCAAAAAACCTAGGAAGACATATCAACTGATGCAGTATGAAATTAATAGAACCACAAGGACAATTTATATAATGATAACAATGTAGCAAAAACAAACAATTTTGAAAGAATTAGGGACTTTGATAAGTGTAATGACCAATTGGAATTTCAAGGAAGTAATGTTGAAATCTGCTATTCACCTCCTCATAGAAGTGAAGGATTCAGAATACAAAATGAGATATACACAGACATTCATATGTGTGTGTGCATGCATGTGTGGGTTTGAGACAGACAGAGTGATAGAGACATACAGACAGATAGACATGGCCACAAGGCCAATGCTGAAGTTTGTTTTGCTTAACTATACAAATTTGTAACAAAGGTTATGTTTTTCTTTCATTCTCACTTGGGCTGGAAAAGGTGAGGTGGAACAGAGGGAAGGTGGAATTTTGCTCTTTGAAAATAAAGAATATAATTTGAAAACATTACATGGAAAACAACAAAAGTTAATAATAGTTCCTTCACCTCTACATGGACTTGACATCAGCATCAATCAATCAATCAATCAGTCAATATTTATTAAGCACCTACTATGTGCCAGGCACTGTGCTAAGTTCTGGGGATACAAGAAGGTGCAAAAAATATGCTATCCCTGCTATGAAGAAACTTACAATCTAATCAGAGAGATGATATACAAATAAATATATACAAAGCATGCTATATACAGGATAAATAGGAAATAATTGAAAGAGTGAAGGCACTAGAATTAAGAGAAAGGCTTCCAAAGATGGGATTTTAGTTGGAGAAGGAAGAAAGTCAAGGATGTCAGTAGGTGAAGTAGAAGGGGGAGAATATTCCAGGCATGGAGGACAGCCAGAGAAAACACCAAGAGCTGAGAGATGGATGGAGTGTCTTGTTTGTATAACAGCCAGGAAGCTAGTGTCACTGGATCAAAGAGTATGTATTAGTGATTAAAGTGTAAGAAGACTGGAGAGGAAGGAGGGGACTAGGTTATGAAGGCTTCAAATGCTAAACTGAGCATTCTATATTTGATCCAGGAGGCAA